GGAGGAGGTCGGAGGAAGGTAGAGCCAGAGAGCGAGAGAGAAGAAGAGTGAATTCCGGAAGGAGTGAGTAGTTAGACGGTTTCCCGCTGGTCGAACAAAATGACAAACAATAACGCAATAACAAAGTGCCCAGCCGTCGTAAACTTCTGAGACGAATTGGTGGATCGCCTATGAAGGGGATGGTCGGCAATGGGGTGGGGGTGGGCTGGAGGGATATTCGAAGGGCTCAAAGGTATTGCGTGGAAATGAGTTAAAAAAAAAGATACAATAGCCGGGGGAGAAAGAGTAGAGAGAGAAAAGAGAAAGACAAAAGAATGAGTGGGGGGAATGAAAGTCGGAAGAAAGAATATGAAATTGCAATCACGCGCTTCTTGCCCATTCGACTCTCGTTATTTCTGTGTAATCTAGTATTAAAATAATAATCATGACAATAAGGGACCTCCTCCCTAAAGGCATAGAGAGGAAAACGAGACCGGAGACGCAGCGAACAAAATAAAAACTGGAGATGCAAATAAAAACGTTCGATGACGCCGCGTGCATCCGGATGTAACGGCCGAGGGGTGGCTGGATCAGGATGCTACTGCCAGAGTTTCTGGCTATTGCTGCTGTGGTGGTGCTAGTTGCAATAATAATAATAATAGTAGTCGTAGTTGTGGTGGTGGTGGCACTGGTGCACGGAGAGAACTTTTCATTAAAAATTATCGTGAAAATCACGATAATCACAGGATATCATAGTATTTCATAATATGTTACCTATATGTATGTATATTTCAGAGCAACTAACGAAAATATATTAAAAAGTAAGCATGACACATCAGCTTTTACTGAGGTGCACGATAAAAATTTCGAAACTTGAAAATATATAATGTAAAACTATATCTTCTATCTTGTTAAATTTAAAAGTTCATTGAAAACAGTTACATTATCTACCTACGTAAACCTGGCACCCGACTTAAAAATATTATAATTTTCAAAACGCGATTCGATTGTACCCCGTTTGTACCTGTTTGTACCACTCTAATTTTCGTTTGTACCTCAAAGAATTGGAAATTACAGGGGGGTCAAAAAACCGCTAGCACCCAACTTGGAGTAATTTAAATTCTGTTTGCAGGGATGAATTTAGAATCGTTTGTACCTGTTTGTACCACTCTAATTTTCGTTTGTACCTCAAAGAATTGGAAATTACAGGGGGGTCAAAAAACCGCTAGCACCCAACTTGGAGTAATTTAAATTCTGTTTGCAGGGATGAATTTAGAATCGTTTGTACCTGTTTGTACTAACGTTAGTTTCGTTTGTACCCCAATGGGTAAGGAGATATAGGATTTTCAAAATTTAGTAAGGAATCTGCGAAGGGGTGCTGGTTTAGAATCGTTTGTACCCGTTTGTACCACTGTTAGTTTCGTTTGTACCATAACGGCTAAAGAGATACAGGATTTTCAACATTGACTAATAGGTGACTCTGCCATTTTTTGAGCTGGCTCAAATCTGCGAAGGATTGCTAGTTTAGAATTGTTTTCATCTATTGGAATTGTTGATTACAGTACTGTTAACATTAAAGAGTAATTTATTACTCTTATTATTGTAACTATCCTAATTATAACATACGAATAAAATAATATTGATTAATAAAGTTAATTCAGTAGAATATGAATGCAAATGAAGGTAAAGTAACATTAGTAATCTCCTTGACTTGGTTGATTTGAAAATGTAAGTAATAATACCATTCAAAAAAATTTAGCTAATTTGTAGAAATTGTGGATGATAAATTAAGACGTTTATATAGTCCGAAACTGTATTCAAAACGCCCTGGAACTTGTGAATGCGCAATGGAATTAGAAAAATATTCAGCTTATTTCTATAAACAAAATAAAATCGTAGCAAGTCGTCCCTTATTCTATTATTCTATTAAATTATTATACTAAAATTTTAGAATGCGATATTATTATACGGAATATAAACTTGGACAAATGCTCATAAGGTTTAATACAAAAATTCAAAAAACATAAGCGACAAAAAATTTAAAAAAACAAAAAAGGAAAAAAAATGTTTTTATATATTAATATTTATCGAAAGGAAAGGAGGTAAAAACGGGTACAAACGATTCTAAACCAACAACCCTTCGCAGATTTGAGCCAGCTCAAAAAATGGCGGAGTTACCCCTGAGTAAATTTTGAAAATCCTGTATCTCTTTTCCCATTGGGGTACAAACGAAACTAACAGTAGTACAAACGGGTACAAACGATTCTAAACCAACAACCCTTCGCAGATTTGAGCCAGCTCAAAAAATGGCGGAGTTACCCCTGAGTAAATTTTGAAAATCCTGTATCTCTTTTCCCATTGGGGTACAAACGAAACTAACAGTAGTACAAACGGGTACAAACGATTCTAAATTCATCCCTGCAAACAAAATTTAAATTACTCCAAGTTGGGTGCTAGCGGTTTTTTGACCCCCCTGTAATGTTCAATTCTTTGAGGTACAAACGAAAATTAAAGTGGTACAAACAGGTACAAACGGGGTACAATCGAATCGCGTTTTGAAAATTATAATATTTTTAAGTCGGGTGCCAGGTTCACGTAGGTGAATTGTCTCGTACGCTAAATTCAATTTTAACGCAGAGTGCACTATTTTTCATACCTTTGAGGTCAATCACGAAATAAATTGTGGGTTTTTATTTATTTTTCAAATGTATGGTTGGGTTGTTACACATTCAGTACGTATAAGCAATGGTAGCCAATATGTTGTTAAGAAATGGTATTAATTTAATAAATTGTTGTTTAATTTATATTTATTTGTTTCAATTATTCTCACATATGTGCAAAAAATTTGAAATAATTATTCGAAAAGTATAATTCAAGTTAATAAATGTAGTTTTATTGAACAGTCTGAATATGGTTCTACCGTAGAAATCGAATGGCTTAGCTAACTTCAGCTGATGCGATGCTTCTAAATATTATAATTCAATCAGATCGTGTTTTGTAAAACAACAGGAAATTTTACATTGAGTCAGAAAAACTTTACCATGAAACTTTACAGTAAAAATTGCAAATAACAATATTTATCATGTGCACTGTAAAACTTACTTGCAGCCACTCAAAATATCGTGTGTTATAAGCAATAAGTAGTTAAATGGTAGTGCAGTAGAAAAATTATCGAAAAATTTTCTCCGTGTGGGATCCTAAAGAGGGTAAGCCGAAAGGTGAGGGATGATATGAAAAAGGATAAATTGCAGAGTGAAAGAGAGTAAAAGAGAGAGAGAGTGAGAGAGAGAGAGAGAGAGAGAGAGAGAGAGAGAGAGAGAGAATGTATAAACATTTTTAAACCGGAAGTGGCACTTGGTCCACATTTTGCAGTATAGCGCTTAAGCTTATCCACGGCTCAACCTGAACGCCGGAAGAGGCTGTGGTGAGAATTCCGTACGGAGAATTCTTTAGCCTAATTACTAATTTCGTCCGTCATGGTTAATTGAGCGCGAGGATAATGACCTCCTGGTGATTATCGTAATTATTCGACGATGTTGTTTGGGACTAATTGATCGTAAGTAGCAACGATACCGACGAGAGGAGATTTTAAACGTATCCGAGACTTTCGCAGAGGTTGCGCGTCCCTTCCTTCCTCAATCATGCGCCATCTACCTGCTACCCTTCGTTATTCACCCTCAATCGCCTCTTTTTATTTTTCTTTTAGGAGTATAATTATTCCCTTTACGGTTAATTGGCTTTGAGAAATCGCCTTTTAACTATTCCCGTAACGCTCACGCATATTGTTCACGACCAATTGGATGTAAGTAATGCTGCGACTCAGAAAATAAACGCCTTAGCAACTTAATGAGTTATGATAAGGAAGCTCATGAATTGCAAATTCGCAAATTCGCAAACTCGCAGATTCATGACTTACTCAGACATACTGGAGAAACGTTTACATTTTCAATATTTCATTATATATCGGACCTCTTGTATGCTCTTACAATTATATAGAGATTTTGGTCAGCCATTTTAAGAAAGAAACGAATAATGGAGATTCCAAAAAAATTCACAAAAACCTTGTGAGGACATTTACTCACATTAACCACGAGCGATCAAGCGATATCCAAGCTCGAAGAAGCACATGGGGTTTAACGAAATACAGACGGGAGGGTCTTAGTCTGGTGACATAAGCGGCTTCAAATGGAGAAATTGAAGCACCACTTTTTTTTTCTATGCCCCGCTGAACTCACTGTACCTGATGAACATTCAGTAACCTAGCGTGTTTCGGTAACAGTCCATGATATAAAAGCTCACGTATTCCGTGCGTTCTCGCAATATGCCCGGTATAGGAAAAAAAAAACAAAAAAAAAGTGAAAAACATGCAAGAATAGAACGAAAGGAAAAGCACGTATATTATAATCCGCGCGGGCGAAGGCTATTTTTTAAATTCGCATAGCCAGAGACTATCGCGGGAGACACTCCCATACAGCTATATATAGATGGTAGTGTCAGTAGCAATGGGAAATGGCAATTGTAGGAGACCTTAAGAGACAGTCCTTCACGTGGAGCATTCATTCATTCGCATATAGTTATAAAATAGAAATACAGTAACTGGGTCGTCCCAGCAGTTATCGCAACGAGTAGCCATTGCACGAGATAGAATTATACGAATTAAAAAAAGATAAAGAGCACAACGAAAATCTTGACTAATGGCGAGTTATAACTTATTTCGAGAGTGACAAGTACAAAGTTTCATCGTTTTTACCAGCAGCCGTGACACTCGCATTAATGAATAACATATTCGAGCTCCCGACTAACGTAAAATCTGTTCTCATAGGTACAAATGCCATCCCACACTGAAAGTATCTCATTAAACGTCTGGAGGGTTCGAGAGCCGCAGGGAATGGATTTCTGATCTATGTATTACATATCCTAGAGCTTCGTGTCCCCTGAAACGGTTCTCAGGCATCAAAGGAAGAGACCGAAAACTTTCTTGGAAAGTTCCCGAGCGGTTGTCTAGCCAGGATCACGCATACCTTCAATATTACGAAGTCCATGTCGCGCCACGCAGCAGGTCGGCGTTCCAAAGCGACCGACCGGGAAGGCAGAGTCAGGCAGTCAGGCAGGCGGACGGTCGTTGAAGAAGAGGAAGAAGAAACAGAGTGGCGTGGTAGTCAGATATTCGTACGTATATCTGTCTCTGCGTTAAAGGGAAGAAGAGAGCCACAACGCTTGGAGTATCCGAAAAGAAACACAAGAAACTCCCGGGCAATGAGAACAAACGAAAACAGTTTACCAACTGTGTTACTCGCGTTGCACTTGCACTCACTTGTACTAACCGCTTTCTACGGCACCACGAAGACGAGGATAAGGACCCGACCTATTATTCGCACGAGCATATTTCCTCGCTGTGCTGCGTCTTTTTCAACGCGCAATCTGTACTGCGTGTACCAATCACGTAAATATAACTTTAAGTACAGCAAGTGAGAAAGAGAGACAAGGTTAAGAACCGATCCTCGGAACAACCAGAGGAAATTCCAGAACGTGAAACGGCCCGACCGAACTACCGGAGTAACTCGCGGCCAACTGGCGCAGCGGCTCGGCGTCGACTGAGTCGAACAGAGTCGCGACGCCAGAGTCGAGCGTCTCTCGAGCGCCGAGGAGCATGCGAGCTGCTGCTGCTGCTGCTGATGATGATGATGGCGATGGTGGTGGTAGTGGTGGTGGTGGTGGTGTTGCCGGTCGTTCAGGACGGTGCGGGGCTTAAGGGGTCAGAGAGAAGAAAGGACAAGGAAAGCGAATGCGAGGAGAAGAGACACACTGGGCACACTGGGCACACTGAGCACATTGACTGGCTTCGAAGGGGCGGAACGCCAAGGGAAAGAGAAAGACGCCGGCGAAGAGAGGAAAGAATAAAGAAAGAGAGAAAGAAGAATCTCACAATCAGAGGAACGTCAGGGCTCAGAGACTCTTGCTTGCACGATCCATGAACGACTTCTCGATTTTTCTGTTGTGTAGTGTGTACCAAGTATATATATATATATATGTATATATATATATATATATATATATATATATATATATATACACATACATACATGTATATACACGTACATAAGCACCTCCTGTAGGAGCTTCTTGTATTCACCCTCATTCTTCTCCTCATCCTCCTTCTCATCCACCTCTCATCCATGACAATGTACCAACCGCTCGGGCAAGATCTCCTAGCAGAAACCGCAGACTCTCACCAATTGCTTTCCCGTTTTCCCTTACGCTAATGCTTCTGCGATTACATGAGTTTCCCGGTTAGATGGCTGCTTAATCTTGCGTCTAGCCATCTACCTATGCATCTTCTAGATGGTTACGTCCTATCGTGAACGCTGTCGTATCGATATCAACAGATAATGGGCATTACGTTGCCTCGTATCAGAATCTTTATATTCTTATATCAAGATTCAAAAAATGATTTCCAAACCCCTATTATCCTTTTCTTGAGGATACTACGTCGTATGGTACCTATTATCTGCGATTCCTTCGAAGCGATCACTCTCTAACTGTCCTGCGATTTCGCGTTCTGATTGTTTCCTGTATCACGGTAGGCATGAAGATTGTACAGAGATGCGTGGTAAGATTCGCCAACGTGAACGCCTCTTGTATTATTACACCACTGAGACTCTATATTCCCACTCCCAATGAACTCTTCTCCTTCGTATCATTTTCCCTATCATTGCTTCCGCGTCTCCCATTCTAATGATTCCCCGTGGTGCTTATCCGTTAGCGAAAACCAATAGCTTCGATCCATTTCCTGTTCCCCGTTATTGTTCATTTAAATCTCGTTCACTCATTCCCTCGTTCCACGTGGAAGACGGAAGACAAGGACTGAGAGATCTAAATTCCACATGGTGAAACACTGTATCGTATGTCACGGACATTTTACTCATAAAAACCGCATCCTGTAAACTCCCTTTATATTTGTGCCCTCTTCCAATCGCACCCTAAAACTCGTAAAACGCCTAGAACCAGTGCGTCTTCGTTCTTGCATATATTCATGTAGCCACCGTAGCTACGGTTAATATGGGCACAAATTATCTTTACACCTCACAAAACATTCTGGCCCATTTTATAAAGAAGTCTGGGCCCTTCGTAAACAAAATAGGGACGATAGCTGCTGGATGAGACGCATCCTGTAACTTAACGGCAACGAGGAAGAAAAAATGTTAGATATATCTGTAAGCACCTCTAATACCATCCAGTTTGAAAAGTATCATTGAGGCAAATCTTATAACTTTTGCTCATGTAGTGCACAGCCTGTTTACATGAAACTATCGAGGATGCGCAAATATATCGTATTTGGTATACACGCGAGGGTGTATATCTATAGCGACATGTGCGTTGTTTGTAGCTACGAATCTCTAAAAAATTGTCCAATGCGGTCAAACAAGTCAAAAGAACTTTTTCGCTGAATTCCGAGAGTATGATCTTTCGGGAAGAGCACCTCGGGGAAGTATGGAAAAGTACGGAGAAATAGTACGTCGCCTGATGCAAGGAAGCCTGGGGCTCTAACGTTGTCGCACTTGGATTACATATATAAAACCGCTCAAGAATGGAACGGTAGCAATAGCGAGTGCCAAGCCGAGAGCAAGTGCACGGGTCGAAATTTCATAATCGAAATCTTAACAAGAAAAGTTGACTAAAAAAGCAACGGAGAAGTTTAAAAGTTCTGAGCGTCTCGCTCGTAATAGCGCCTTTCTGCAATGGAGCCACCCCTTTCTGAACTCCCAACGTCTATACGCGCCACATCACCCTCAAAGCTCACTTATAATTACCAAAGTTAATTTACGAAACAAGATTTAATTGATGGGTTCTTCAAGGTTCCTTAAAGTTCACACTGCGCGACGGGATCCTTCCAAATTTGCCAATGGCCACGGATACGATAGCGTATAATAAGGATAGTTTCATTACTTGTCCCCTTTTTATGCTGATATCCTTTTATTACACGTACAAAAGGTACTTGTTACGATTACAAATGAAGCAACACAATTTACACCGCTGCATAAATTATGCTACGTGGGAAAAATGCAATTTACAATACAATCGATCGATTAATTATACATGAAAATACATGCTAATATATCAAGTAGACACTGTTGAATTACTTGTAAAGAATAAGAATGAAAAATGGAGGAATTTTTAACTTTCTGTTTAATTTAAAATTTAGGGCTTGGTTAGGTAAGTATTACATACATCCAAGCTTAATTGCTAGTAGTGTAAATTTACTTTATTTGATGAAGTTTTTTTTAGATAAGACACTTTAGTATGTTATTGGGCCCAATGTGTGGAAATGAAATAATCAAATGCATTATCAGTAAATTTAACACGTCGTAATGTGCAATTCTGATACGATTCATCCGTGTTACTCAAATAAAACGTTAAATTTTGATTATATTTTTTAAGAAATTCGGCAAAACTTACTATTTTTGTATATACAAATATTTACGATTATAATTTTTAGCCGCAGCAAGATTAGCAACTTGAGTGGGTAACGTGTCACGTTTCTCACTTCGAACATTCTGACGATCACAGATTCGAATCTCGCTGCTGCAACGTAAATAATGTGACGAGCAGCTGTGCATTCACACGCACATACCTATGATTTTTAAATTTTGTTTTAATTACAATGTTATGATAATCGCATGTTTAATGCTTTTTAATTAAGGTAATAATTATATTCATTAATGTAATAACAATTATCGTATGTCAATGTCTTCTAACATAGAGAGGTAAATTTCACTATTATATTTGTGTAAATTTAATCATGCCATATAATATAATACCTAATACTAGAATCAACGAATAGTATTGTAGCAGTAATCGGTACTCCACAGAAGTGTCCTTATATGTATATTGTATATATGTATATTTACCAGACGTCATAGTAATGGCCATCGCAACTGGTGTTGCAGCGATAAATTATTTTGTTCTATGCAGTACTTGCTTTATATACAATACAAATATGTTTCATAATGCGTGGCATAAATCAACTCTTTCAACCACACTTTAAACCACCCAGGACTTCAGCTTGAATTTTGAAAGTTAAGCTGCACTGAGAATAAAACGCGATTTGATCATTACGGAATACCACAGTTGAAATTTTATAGTTTTGAGAAACATAATTATAGTAAATGCAATAATAGTAATTCACCGAAAAGTAATCAATTTTTTCAGATATTTACATATCGATCGTGAAATTGAAATACAGTGTATTCACTATCTAATCCGCCCAAATCTATGTTTTATTTTTATACGAAAAGTGTTGTACATGTACAATAGAATGGCAATTTTGGGCGATGTGTATTACAGACGTGTAGCAGGGACGTTCCGATTTATATTTTTGCCTCATTTTCAAGGTTATACACATATTCAAAATCCTTAATCAAAGCATAATAGATGGAAAGAAAAATATTAGTTCAAGATAAGTCTTTAAATTTGAAAGTTAAACAGTCAATAAAAGAAATTTCAAGATTTGAGGTTCAAAGATTAACTAGTTAAAATTTTCCGAGCTCGAAGGAGTGTTTTTAATGGGTACCCATGCGCGGTCCCTAATAATCTCTTTTTAAAAGATTTATATTAAACTCTGTGATGCATAAAATATGCAAACTTTGGAATGTGTATATAATAGTCCAATGTTCGATTTCTTTTCCCACAAATCAAATAGCCGACGACGGTGACAGTGTATCTGGCGATATATAACGTTAATTTAAATATTAGATCGGACTCATTCTTGCATCTTTCGATAATACTTTCTTCTGAAAAACTTCAATGACTCCACTTTTTAAAACCGTGATATTTAATCTCTGAAATTAGCTGAGTCCATTGCATATACAATTTTATGTATCGGATCTCAAGACGATTAGCATGAAAAATCTGCAATTGAAACGCGGACGGGACCTTTTTCCATATACCTTTGTAATACTTTGTTCTCTTAAATGACAATCATTAGAAAGTTCGTACCCGTCCCTATGTTTTTTTTTCTTTATCACGACGCTACGTGATGAAATTGTAGTACGATAAAAGCTTAGTAATTTCTAAAGTCTATCGTGTTCGCTCGGAGAACCACCTGAATTAATACTCAATGTAAGTAATCGACAATACCTCCTAATACTTACGGTTGCCGCAATCCATCCCTACGCAATGGAATAGTGAAGGCTATAATGTCGAGTGAAACGGCAGGACTGGTCGGACTTGGTTACTAGCCTGTGGCACACGGATTTCATTAAGGATGAGCTGGCATCGGGCTGGTTGTTTCTGTGGATGAATATTCAACCTGGGAAAAAGTCGCCGTCCTTTTGCGCACCGCGAGGGTGCAAACAACAAAGGGTCCCTCTCGTGGTTCGAGAAGCTCATTGTCCAGGAAATGTAGGCGTATGCAATTCCTTACATACAGTCATATACCTACCAAGTCCAGAATATTAGGGAAAGTTCTGCTGTAATGGGTTGTGTTTTTTAATTAGCGACCTGTGATCTACGGAGGACTCTTGCTTTGGTTACTCCGCCCTTTTTCCACAATAGGGCGAAGCGCCAGAGAAAACTGAAGAAAATGTAACTGTAACTGGACTACTAAGAAAAAAATACAAGAGATCATAAGAGAGAAAAAATATTTA